ATGTTTCGTTTGCGTTACGCGTTTAGTTGTTCATTATCCTATCCTTTGGGGTTTTCCCACAAAACTACATTCAGCCTGGCGGCTTTTGTTATTTTTCCTGTCTGGTTTTTGCCCAAAATTCTAGCGTCATTTTATTACGGTTTTGTTGGTCAATTTCGATAACAAGTCTGTATCGCGTTCATAACAACCAGTCTTCCTCTTATTCGGCGAGCATCGGATCAACTCAATGAGCTGACAGACTCTGCGCTCCCCACTGTCGGTCAACTTGTGCGGCAGACCGATTGTCCGTGGCACAAACGAAAAGCTTCGATCTTGTGGGACGTCAAAAAATGTGTACGAGCCGGCGATCCTCCAGAGAAAATCCGTCCGATAGTGCAACAACTACTGTCGACCCGCTTTCACCGTTCAGCCGTCATCTATACCGATGGATCCAAACACGACAACACTGTAGGTGCTGCATTCCATAATAATGGTTTAGCGGGAAAGTACAGCCTCCCGACGCAATGTAGCGTTTTTTCTGCGGAGGTGTTTCCGCTGGATACCTGGACACGCCGGCATCCAAAGAAACAACGAAGCTGATCGGTTAGCAAACATGGCGAGAACAGAACCTCCTATTTGTATACCAATCCCAGGTAAAGATGCGTTAAGAATGGTGAAGCAAACAATACGCCAACGATGGAACGACCAATGGTTCGCGACCAGAGACTCCAAACTGAGAGAGATCAAAGACGGCACGCACACGCACAAGTGGACGGAACGGGGAAGTACTTTCGACCAGCGTGTGCTTACACGACTGAGAATCGGTCACACGAGGCTAACCCATACGTTCTTATTGAAGAAAGAAGCCCCACCCAGTTGTTGTGGAACGGTTTTAGACGTGCGACACGTGATTTTGCAGTGCAACATTGACACAAAAAGCTTACGAGATGCGTTAGGAAACTCTGAGGAGCAAACCACCAATTTGCTGAATTTTCTACGCCAAACTGGACTTTACCGAAAAATTTGAAGGATGCAGAGAAAAGAAGGAACAGCGGAAACCCGGTGTAGTGGCAAGCAAATTAATCAGATAATGGAGCAAGGAAGGAAGGAATAATGTGAAGAAGATGGAGCAGCCGAAACCCGGTGTAGCGGCAAGAAGATTAAGCAGATAACGGAGCAAGGAAGGAAGGAAGAATGCAATATGTAACAGGATAAAGGTGAACTAAGCTGGAGAAAATTGATACGGTCATGTAATGAAGAACACAAAGCGGATAGCGGATGGAAGCTTAAGAAGAAACAACGTGAGTTGTGCATTGAAGCAGAAGATGAACAGAAGATTTTGGATGAAGCGAAGTATCAGATGAAGGCGGAACGTAAAACGATGCTGAAGAAGAGGAAGAATATCAAGAAGATAAAGCGAAAAATAGCAAAGCATCAGATGATGGAGAAACAGAAAACGAAGCGGAAGAAGAAGAAGAAGAAGATCAGGAAGATGAAGTGGAAAATTGCTAAGTAAAGAAAGCGGCACCGAAGGAAAATTGAAGAAGGCATGAAAACGTAGGAGCGGAAAACAAGACAATGGAAATAAAGAAGGATGATGAAGAAATGAAGAAAATAAACAAGTTGTCTATGGAGAAAATAAAGAAGAAAATAGCTCAAAGAGTGACTTTAGAAGAATACCAAAAAGCAACAAAATATCAGAAGAAGTGAAGAAAATACAAGAAGGCGAAGACGATACAGAGATGATTTAGCAAAGGTGAAGATAAAGCAGACCCGTAAGCAAGATGTCAAGATAAGTGAATTGAAAAAGAATTATAACAATTAATAAATGAATATGACATGAATGTATATATTTAGTTTTGATTTATCTATGACGCGGGAGATTCGTGGAATCCCAGAACATCATCGTTCCATGATTGTTCCGTCAATTTATGCTGTGAAGTTTGGCCAAGTTGATTCCGCAAGATCGTTCTTCACAGATGGATCACTAATAGAGGCGTCCGCTGGTTTTGGTATTTATAACGAATTTCATAGCGTCTCCCGAATGCTTCATGCTCCTTATTCCGTATATGTTGCTGAACTGGCGGCAATACACTATACGCTAGAAACGATCGCCTCACTTGCACCAGATCACTATTTTATTTTTACGGATAGTCTCTGTTCTGTCGAGGCTATTCGCTCCATGAGGCCGGTAAAGCACTCCTCGGATTTTCTCATGAAAATACGAGAGCTTCTGAGTGCTTTATCTTTTAGATCTTTTGTCATCACCTTTGCATGGGTCCCATCTCATTGCTCGATTCCGGGCAATGAGAAGGCGAACTCACTTGCTAAGGTGGGCGCTATGCAAGGCAATATTTACGATCGACAAATCGCCTACAATGAATTTTTCTTCATTTATCGTCAACAGTCGCTCGCCAGCTGGCAAAATAAATGGAGTGAAGGAAGTTTGGGACGATGGCTATTCTCGATCATCCCTAAGGTGTCGAAGAGTCCTTGGTTCAAGGGGTTGGATGTGGGTCGAGACTTCATTCGTCTGATGTCTCGCCTCATGTCCAATCACTATTCGTTAAACGCTCACTTGTTTCGTGTTGGACTGGGAGACAGCAATCTCTGTGAATGTGGACAAGGTTACCAAGACGCCGATCACATCCTTTGGTCTTGTGCTGAGCATCGTGGAGTCAGATCACATTTTTATGATTCCCTTCGGGCTCGAGGTAGACAACCTAATGTTCCAGTTCGGGATATTTTGGCTAGACGTGATCTGGAGTTTATGAAACTCATATATGTTTACTTTAAGAATACTAACCTTAGATTGTAAGTTTGATTAACCTTGTGTTTAGTTTGTGTATTGTGCGTGTAGTTTTTTTTTTAATGTTTGTTTTCAAGATGAATAGAAATAAGTTCATGTTTTAGGATTAGTTAAATATTTGTATAATAAATCATACTTCAAACCTCCTTCTCCCTTTCCCTATCCAAAAAATTGTAAATCTCCACTAACCTCGAGACGACCGCGAGTAATCGGTTCAATTCCTTTTACTCTAGATTTAAGACATTAATCATGTATAATGCAAATGATAACTCGGCTCTGTAAAGTTTATTTGATTGTGCCTGTACAAATAAATTAATATATCAAAAAAATGAATGTATATATATGATTGCATGTAAAATGTCAAAAATAATAAGAAAAAAAACTATTCGAGCGCACAACATCTGTTAACTGGAATCCCGCAATGTTGCAATAAATAGTAATGCATTGAAGAACAGCGAACACGAACATCGAAGCCAAACGAAATTGTTGGTTTTATAATCCATCGGAATCCATTTAATACAATTTTGCAACCGGCTGGTTTACATTCAGTATAACGTAGTGGCATAACGGTGTGTGAGAAATATTTTAGAGTAGTTATCTAAAAATGTAGGAGAAAGTCACTATTTGCAAATGGTCAAGGATTATCGAACCATTAGTTTTATTTATTATTGTTGTTCTAGCAAACACACCGTGGGCACAGAACCCTTAGTTGAATACATAATAATTATGAAGCCGTAAACTCAATGTTGCCATTTGGTATTCAGGTAATATCTCTAAATGCAGTGCATAGTTTACAAGCTAACTTTAAAGTACCCATTATCCAGTAAAATGTCACCCCTTTTTGAATAAAACTGGCATAATGGGTAATGAGTATCTGTAATCCTATTAATGAGTAACTGTCACCCATTAAATACCAATAATGGGTATCAGTTACTTATTAAATGGGTGAACAATTTACCCATTAATGAGCTTAGCCACTTTATTTGAAAACGGGTGAATAAATGAATGCTCATCAATGGGTACTTTCAAGTCAGCGTGTGATGCAACACGTAATTTCGCTCGTATTCTTCACTAGTTATTATTGTTAGTATGCACATTGTACAACGCAAAAGTGAAGCCCACATATCTATATGCAACTCAACTGACTCATGGTGCTTTTACTACGAACCATCATCGATGAATATATATGTTCATAAAGTAGTTAGCAGAACTAATGCAACGTTCATCGTCATAAATTTTGCATCCTTGTCAGCTAGGTTCCCAACCTTTTTCAAGTGGCGTACCCCGTAGCAAAGAATCAAAACAAAGGTTTTTATAAGAAGGGTTATTCAAATGATTGAAACACATATTTCAAAATATTTTCTAAACGATCATCGATACCTTAGAAAATGTTTTAAAATAAGTTTTTTTTATGAACTTTGGAGTAGACAGTAATTGCTAAGGATTGTAATTTTTAAGTTCATTGTTTAATATTATTATTAGTCACAAATTCAAACATCGTAGAATGTTCAAAAGTTGCACGAAAAGCATCTGGTTAAGATTAATTAGTGTTTGATTTTTTAATAGATAATTGTTAAAAAAAAATGTTTATATTAAACGATAAATTTTTAACTAAAAGCTTCAATAAAGTTGGATGAACAAAACTATATTTTTGTTTTTAATTATTTGTATACAATGATAAAAACAGAATTAAATCATTTTTAAGGCGATTTTTCATGCTTGAATAAAAAAATTATAACAGTCAAATTAACAACCTTTCACAAATATAAATTTGGGTTGGCATATTTCGCGGTAGGCTGACTGGGAAACTTATGTACATTACCGGACCTAAGTGTATCACGTCACGAGTGTTTTGTTTTTCTCCAGAAAAGCTCAAAGTGCTTTTTCAATGTATAAAAAATTCCGAAATATGGTTGCTGGTTAATCGAATATAAAAAATTAAGAAATACTAACAATAAACATTTACTGAAATTACCAAACTCGTTTTGAAGTAAAATTTCCGATTATTAAAACCCTTAGCAGTAACATTATAAAGGCTACTTAATTTTAAACAGATACGATTTTTTGGCAAACCCCCAGGGGTACGCGTACCCCAGGTTGACAACCGCTATGCTAGCGCACAAATAGTTTTACTATCTAGTGCCGTTGTGTGTTGGAAATACGCAATCAGCATGCGGTAGTTAATAACGAACAATAACTCAATTGAACCTACCTTCATTTTCACCGCTACGGGAATAGTTTCCGCAACGCATTCCACCAGATCGAAATCTTCGTTCGGAACATTGCTCGTTGCGTTCGACTGCGGGTCGCTTGATTCTGAATGCTTGATGCATGCATTGTCTGCCGGTGATAGTAATCTCATTTTGTAAGCCACCAAAGCCCCAATCGATAGACAGCATCCGAAGAATATTACCACCATGACGATTACCAATAGATGATTATCGATCCGATGTTCAATGTTTGCTGTATGGAAGAAACGTTTCAACGATGAGGATGAATATTTAACGATTGAATGAGAGTAATAATCTCCAATTAAGACTTACCATCCTTGCTTTGTGTGAGAATATTTTCAGCCTTCACAGTTGCCTCAGGCTCATCAGAATATTTATGGCTTATCTGGCCACTGGAGGAATCATCCACTTGATTAGGAGCGGGGGTTAGCTCGTCATCATAGAACTCATTCAGCTCAAAATGCTGATCCAATTCATCATCTTCCAGAGGGGTAATGTAGCGGTCTCTAAAAACATTTCTGGATACTGATGGAAATAAGCAAAAGAAGCAACGAAAAGAAATCTCATTAATAACGTAATAGTTCATTGCGAAGAAAGAGAACTTCATGGGAAAATTACCACATGCGTAAACAACTTTCAGAGAAACTCGAACATTGTTAGAACATGGATTGCCAAAGGTGGATGCTTCTACCGCAACGGTACATTTTCTCCTTCCCTGGCAGATTTCCGTCAGTGTGTGACTGGTATGGGTCGACAGGCAAGCTACAAAGTCAAGAGTAATTTCATCTCAAGTGGCCGGCGCCCAATTACGTCCTGTTTACTTACTGTCCTCCTTGGAGCCAGCCGTCTGCGTACAATGCGAGCTCTCGTAGGCCGTCCTCCCATAGCTAGCACTGTAGATAGCAACCCTAGTGTAACGACCGCAGGCCAATCGTATCACATCTTTCTCGCATCCAATGAGGCTACGGAACTCGACTGGCGTTCCAACATTAAGGAAAGGACGAGAGAGAAAACATCCAAGAATCGCAAGGAAACAGAATTTACCACAGAGAAAATAACACACACTTTCCTTTAATGAATGAATCAATTTGAACAATTTCTGCGAAATGGCTTACATGGTCTGCATTTGTGGCTCACTTCTACCAGTTTGTGGATGCCGGAACATGGAACAGTGTCGAATACTTTCGGAGTGGCTCGGAACGAACACTTGCGTTTCTTCTGGCAGGCTTCGACTACAATTTGCAGGATGGAATACTGTAATCGATTCAATTGATGAGTTAAACACATGCAATTTTTAGGATTGAAGTGTCATGTAAAATCGATTATCGCAGACCTTGTTCACAGAGTACCACTTTGGCAAAGTTTGCTATCATTAAGTTCGGCTATTATTTACTTGATTGTCATAAGGCAGTCGACTGGATAGAATACTTTTATTGGGTAAAAACGATAAGATCAATCAAAGCATTAGGAAACTTCCATTCAATGCTTCCATAATCTAGATACCGAAGTAGAGAACCGCTGATGTGATCGACTAAACTGTTCCTGGAATGGAAAATTCGATTCACCATTTATCAGATATCTGATTGAAGAAAATTCTTCTATATCATCTCCAACGATTAGCGGCGCCGGTGGTGTAGTGGTAAGCGTGATTACCTCTCACGCCAGCAGGCCTGGGTTCAATCTCAGTCGGCGGGAAGTAAAACCGTTGGTCTACGGTTCATGAGTTGATGGGTCGATAGGTTGTGTCCAGGTGTGAGAGCTGCCTCCCTGACGTCGGTAGCATTGGTGGCTCAGCACGGAAAACAAGATCAACGGAACACAAATCAAGGGAAAAAAAATCCCCTAAGATTCTGCATTTCGCGATGTTTTCTCCGAAATTCTATTAAATTTGTTATTTCTATTTTAAGCGGTGATACCAAATAGCAAACAATCCAATTGGAATTAGACAGGTTGCGCCTTATATCTATGTGTGCATTGTCAAGCATATTGAACACGAAGTTTCTTGCCAATTCCAAATACTGGTTAGAAAAATTAGACATTTGAATAATAACACGAGCTGTATTATTATGGACTACATTCGGGAAAAAGAGACATTAGCACCAATCCGAGAAAAAATATTGTTTTATATTGGTGGCAGACACTATATTCTTATTTTTCGATACAAATGAGGCTCACTGATAAAAGAGTCCATTGAAACAAATATAAAATTATAAATGATTGAGAGAACAATGCGTTGAATGGACAAAAGATGATATTCTTAGAAGGGAGCAATACGTCGAATGATTCAAAGAGAGAAAAACGGTCGATTAGACAAGTCGAGACAAAAACAAAAGTGTAGACTAGATTAGACTAGAACAAATTGTCTCTAATGGACAAAATGTTGAATAGTTTAGGGAAAGACAAAAGGTCGATTGGTCACAAGAGGGACAGAAGGCCGATGGGACAAAAAGTCGAATGGACAAAGGACGAATGAGAAAAAAAAAAGTCAAATGGTGCAAAGAGGGAAAAAAATTACAAAACTTCACATGATTCAGTGACGAACAAAAGGTCGAATGATCCAAAAGGGAACAATCTGTTGAATAATTCATAGAAGGACTGCAGATTGAATGGACAAAACGTTGAATTGTCCCGTTCAACAAAGTTTCTGCAGTGCTACGACTTCGAAATTTAGTGGTTGAGTTCGTCATAGATTAACCTATCGCAACCCGGGCAGCCGAACGATTTGCAGTTCCATGAGTTTCCAATCGTAGTCCTTATTTCGTCGTATAGTTCTGTGCCGATTGTTTCGATCCATATTTCTTTGTTCGCTATTTGCAACTTTATATTTTTTCCAAGGCCGCTTGTTGGGCCTGTCCCAACCCCCTGTCTAACTGGAGGACCATCGTGGATAGCTATGTTTTGAGTCACACTCTGGTACTAGGACGGTGATCAGCCGCTCTTAACATGAAGAACAAACGCCGTTTTGAACCGCACCTCCATGGTGAACAGACGCTCGGGTTTTTGAAGCATTTCCTATATCACCTTACTATGGCTACCGCGCCAGTGTTCGCAGTCGCACTTTGCTATTATCGGACTGGCAACATTACCCAGGCTACACCACCCAGTTGTTTACAATGACACACAATAGATGAAGAAAACTACGAGCACGGTTCCTGTTACGAGTCACATAAAAACAAATCTATATCTACATATATATATATATCAATATTAGCTTAAGTTTATGAGTTCTAGAAATTTCGTTCAAACATAGTTATATACACGAAAACTCCATAGATTGGGAGATAAAAATCAGAAAAGAGGCAATTATAGCTAAAATTCACAAGACAACTGAGCCAATAAAAGTTTGAATTAGATTGAACATAGTTGCATTGCTTTTCAATGACGACCGATGGCTATTTCATTGATAGATGATTTTTTTAGAAATATGATAGACGTGTTTTTTATCAAAGGCAACTCGGAAACTACTGAAACTGAACCGATCGGAGTGAAAATTTGTCTGTAGGGGTTTTTGGGGCAAGAAAAGGTTCTTATGATGGTTCGAGACCCCTAACCCCGATAAAAAAATCATTGCCTTACACATTGCTACAAAACAAAACAGTTCTTGACTTTCGTCATTTTCAACTAATTTCGCGAAATTTAAGAAATTTCACTGCTTCCGTGAGATCGCAAATTTACATTTCTTTTGTTTCTCCCTCTTATCCTTAATAAATTCTCGAAGGAACCATCTATAAATGATGTAGTATATGTTTGACCAAGTTTGGCCCTTTTTGCACTCATAGCGTATTTTGCTATACCTAATACATGGACGGTCACAACTTCTGAAACACCCCCCTTCCCCCTCAAATATTACGTCATTTATGCATGTGCCACACAATCATCTGCATATATTGTCTCTACTTTTGCAACGTTAAGCACAGGAAGTATCACCGCTCATCGCTCGCTCGCTCAATGTTAAAAAGATAGGAATTGCCTGACACATCTTTGAGGAAACTAAAATAGCTGGAAATCCACATCCCTGTTTTATGCTCTATAACTTGTGGTCCCACCAGTATGGAGCTGTGGAGAGTTGCTTGTGTTTTCAGCAGGTAAAATAAATAAAACAATCAAACATCCCCCTTCTGAAGCATGGTAAAAATTGAAGCGGTATCCCAAAATTATGCCGGTCAATTCATATTAATCATGGCTAATGAACTACACAGCGAGGGTCTCGGGGAATTTTCCGAGGGTTGTGCAATTATTTCAACTCGCATTTTTAGCAAACATATCTGCCAATGCTTTCTTCCGAATGTTGGCCTTTCTCCATTAAGATTGAGTGCCTCACATATTCTACACTGGCTGTTATCGTTTCATTTGATGTTCAGGATCAATGCCCATAAGCATCAGCCGTGTCAGCGCCCCAGCTTGCAGAACATGCTGGAAGGGTCATGGAAAAATGAAACCGGGCACATCTCAACATAAATCAGTCCGGGAAAATATACCAACCATGATAGTACACCGGTGCGATGGGGATAATAAATCTTGGAGAAAAAGGTTTGTTTCCAAATAATGTCACCCAACCGTGGGGAGAGTCCGATTTTTACATCTTTACTACCTGTTTTTTTACCGATGGAAATTCGTTTCGCGCTCCATTGAAGTGGGTCTGCAGGTATCTGTTATTATAATAGCTGTTTGCATTTCGAAACCAAGGTTATCTGGTTTCTTTGAGAGATAAGACACAGAAGGAAGTATTTCAGGTGAAAAAGGCAATCATCCTTAATCATCAGAGGAAAGTATGTCTATTTAGATACTTTAACATTTCATAGGAAAATAAATTTCGTATCAGAATCTGTTTCCGCGAGGCTGAACGATGTCGAAAATACCTAAAAACGCATTAAACATTTCCTTTTATTACTTTTATCCAAAATCTATGGAACGAGCTTATGTATTGATTGGAATTAGTGATGAAGCCAGAAACAAAAATGTGATTTAAACTAATGTATGGTCATTATTTTTACTGTGTTGGATTATCTATTTTTAAATGGTTCTCGAGTTATATAATTATTGGAATGTCTTTGGAATGATAGTTAGGTAATATAAGTTACAAGAAGAGGTTGTAATGTACGTGTTTGACTCATAAAACCTGTAAATATTGCATTCAGAGCGTCACAATCACCGATGCCACTTCCTCTCCTATTTATAGACCACTGTGATTTTTCCCAAATCAAACGTTTAGTTTCCAATAAGCAGATGCTTAGTACAACATTAATTGAAAATTAGGGGGATTTTGTTATTGAATTTCAAAATCAGAGCAAAGCTCATATCAGGTTAAATGCTTTGACTAAAACTGGAAATTCTGGAGGAATTGAAAATCGAAATTCGATCCAATTTCACAAAGTTGACCAATACCACTTCCACCACTCCGGTGTCCTCTAGACGGTCTGGTAATAGGTCACGCACCATAGGAAGCCGACGGTTATTCGAGAAAAAGGACAATAACTTGCCACCTCTTATGACTGCTACCGGAGATTCGCCGTCTCCAAGTCTAGGCCGTCTAACTGTTCCCGTTTCTAAGGATAAGTTTTGGTTATACCTATCTCGGATTTCCCGTGACGTTTCTGCTGAGCAGATCACCGAACTTGCCAAGCAACGTTTGTCAACGGAGGATGTTGAAGTTATCCGACTGGTTGCTAAGAGTAAAGATATCCAAACCATGTCGTTTGTCTCCTTCAAAGTAGGCGTCTCTACAAATTTGAAGGCGAAAGCATTGTCGTCCTCTACATGGCCCAAAGGAATGCTGTTTCGTGAATTTGTTGACAACCGCAAAGCCGAAAATTTTTGGAAGCCGCCTGGATTGCCAATAAATACACCGCAGACAACTCCGAAATCCAGCGAGTCACCTCATCAAATGCCTATGACGGAGTGATATCACTGAGTCAAGACCCAGAGCCACTACGTCGTATTACCTACTACCCGAATCCGGGACGCTCACTTGCCGCTAGCTTCTTGGAAGCCCCTGATCCCCTCATCACAGTCGAGCACCTCCAGCCAGCGACCTTCAGCCGTCCCGGTCCTGTGTATGAGTCCGGAAAAGGGGTCTTCCAAAATCCAACTGCAGGCGAGTATTCTAGTTTTCCGAACAATTCTGTCCCTGAAACGCTTATCACTTCTAGTCGTAATTCGTCAATAAACTCGTTCGTGGTTTACCCTAGTCGGACACCGGGACGCACACTTGCCACATGCTTTTTGGAAGCCCCTAATTCACCCATCGCAGTCGA